CAAATTATGAGAAGAAAATTAAAGCTCACAATTATAATGGGGGATTATGGATACAGAAAATGTGAACAACTCAATTAACAAACGATTTTTTTCAAACTTTTCCAAACTGCAACAATCCACTGATGAACTAAGTCAATGTTATAACCACCCTTAAAAAATGAATTAAACTGAGTATAACTGAAAGTATCAGACTCCACTCCATGACAAAGATAAGCATCTCTTTGTAAAATCTTTGTTTGTGTTTGTATATTGAATAATGATATAAAATGCATTTCTTGTGTGGGTTACAGTTAAAAATCCAAAGGATCATTGGTTTGGACTGAGTTCCTGTATTAAGCTAACTGACCACACCAGACCAGAACAAAATGGAATACTCATGATGAAGCTCCACACCACCACATCAAAACTAAAATGTCTATCTGATCTTACTAGAAAGCAGGAGAGAGGCAATAGCACGCAACGAAACCCAAACCTCCAAAAAGCCAGTTTTAGCCAGCATGATATGAAAGCCCCTCTGCTTATAGAAAAAAACAGAGAAGCAACCTGAAGTTGACCCATCAGGTTCTTTTCCTAGAATTCTCTTTCTCAGTGCCCACTTTACAAAATCCACTATTCTACCAGCAAGAGCTCTCATTCTATCTTGCAGAATGGAAGCTGTCACAATTTATGAATGGTAAATACAAGTCAACAAGATACATCACTAAATTTGCCTTTTGACACTCCTTTTCAACAATCCTGCTTCACTGGCATGATTTATCACATGTCTCTCTCCCTTGCAAGTGCCAACTAACTAATGTATCTACTTATTATTTGGGTCTACTTTATAATAGGCACTCAAAAAACTGAAGACAGAATGAAATGGTATTGAAAGAAAGCATATCATCAATCTTTAAGATGTGGAAATTAAGATAAGGTTAACCACTTTCAATTTTTGAGATATTCCCCTAGAATTGAGTGCAATAATAAATGTACCAGGGGCAGGAAACAATTATTTGAGCTTTGCACAAGTGGAATGATGTGTGGGCACCTACGTGAACAAGCAACAGGGTGCAAGCAGGCAATCTGACTAGCCAGAAGGGATAATTCTAGAAAGGTCAGCCCTCTTGTCTCCTTATCTATCAATGGAGAAGGTAACTTTTCCATAACATACCTCTATTAGTTCAATGAGGACCAGAGGATATAGTCCCTTGTCATCCTTCTGAAATGCTCTTTTCTTTTACTCCAGGATTTATAGCCAAGTAATAAGAAACCCAATAGGGAAAGAAGATGGGTCAAGTAGTAATGGTCCCCTATGTCATTCTTAAGAGTTAACAACTTGGGTCCAAGGCAAGTTGTTTAAGCACAGAGGAACACTTCTGGGATGTAGAAGAGAAAAACTAGAAATACTGTGTAGCATTAATGTACACTGTCAGCCTTCAAATATTTGTTTGAGGTGAGACTGATGAAAATATGGCTACAATAGAGACAAAATTTTTTTTGAAGTTACAATTCACAAAATATGGGGCTGGGATTGTGGCTCAGTGGTAGAGCGCTTGCCTAGCACATGCGAGGCCCTGGGTTCAATCCTCAGCACCACATAAAAATAAATAAATAAAATAAAGGTATTGACAACTACAACTAAAAAATAAATATTTTTTTAAAATTCACATTATATAAAATTAACTATTTTCCAGTGAACAATTCAATTGCATTTGGTACATTCACAATGTAATGCAGCCACCACCTCTATCTAATTCTAAAACATTTTCATGACCCCCCCACCCAACAAAACCCAAACCCATTACACAGTTGGTCACCCTTCTTCCCTCTCCTTGGCCCCTAGAAACTACTAATGTTTTGTTGTTGTTGTTGTTGTTGTTATTTTTTTATATTTTTTTAGTTGTCAATGGACCTTTATTTAATGACTTTATTCATATGAAGGCTGAGAATCGAACCCAATGCCTCACATATGCTAGGCGAGCACTTTACCACTGAACCACAACCCCAGCCCCGAAACTACTGATGTATCCTGTCTATGTGAATTTATCTATTCTGGGTGCTTACTATAATTGAATCATACACTATGTCTGGCTTCTTTGACTTAGCAAATTTTCAAAGTCCATCCACATTATATCATGTGTCAGTGAGAAAGAAAATTCCTAAAACTACAAAAGCAGAAGAGCAGAACCTAAAGCACTTAGCAAGCAAAAGAAGATAGAGAACCAGAAAGTTGGTGATCACTGCCATCATATGCCTTAGTGACTAAAAGGATAGTGGTACCATCACACATACACGAGAGGCAGGAGGTGGCGCAGGTTAGCACGAGGGGTGGTAAATTTGAGCTGGACATGCCGAGTCAGAAGTGCTAGGAAAAGTTCATATTAGAGATATCCACCAGGCCACTGAAAATTGTCTGGAGCTTTAGGGAGAAGGCCCAGGGGCAGCTGCAGAGATGAAGTTGCATGGAGCTGCTTCGTTTCACTGACCTCAGCTTTAATTGTATAATAGAAATCATCAACAAATTAGGATCTGTACATCTGCAATAACTTCTGTTACTCAGACACAGACAAAACGTGAACTCTCCTTGCCTATTTAAGGATGTCCCATATTCATTTACAAAACTTCAGAGGTGAATGACCAGCAGCAAAGTTTGGGATCAGAAAAATCTTATGCTTATGCTACAGAAAAACTCATAGTACATTTGCTCTAGTTTGTATGAAAATATCCCATCCACAAAGACAAACAGTTGGCAATAAATATCTCCCACAAAACCTCTGAATCTGGTATCAGTAGGTGTCATCACTCTCTGCTTCCAGCAAAATCTATCAGCATTCTAACCCTCCTGAAACTCCTGTCAGTTTTACAATTCATTTAGAAGTTTGATATAAATATGCAGTCCCACTGGTCTGACTGCAACTCTGGAGATAAAATACTTATTTCATCCAATTGAGCAATCCCTCTGAGTAATTTTAATCCATACAGGGAGGGGCTGATCTCTCCACTTCTCATATCCACCCTGAGCCAACATCAGACTATTGAAAGATCCTTGCCTCACTTTGGCCTTGCTTTCAATGTTTTCTTCAAAGTAATGTTAAATCCTACATATATTGATTTAAATGTATGAAAAAGAATCTTTGCTTGCTTGAAAAATATATGCAGTCAGCCCTCTGTATCCAGGGGGTTCCGCACCTAGAGGCAACTATAAACCATGGATTGAAACTATTCTAGAAAAATATATTGCATTTGTCCTGAATATTACAGATTCTTTGTCATTATTCCATGAACAATACAATATGACAACTATTTGCAGGACATTTATATTGTATTAGGTATTATAAGTACTCTAGAGATAATTTTAAGTATAAAGGTAGATTATGCATAAGTTATATGCAAATATGCCATTTGATAAAAGGGCCTTGAGCATTACAGATTTTGCTATCTGTGGAGGTCCTGGAATAAATCTACAAATATTAAATATATATTTGTATATATATTTTCATATATATATTTATATATTAACACAAAAAACATGCACAAACAAATCAATATCATAAAATATACTTCTAAATTGTTTTCTATACCTGCAACATCAGACCCAAATTGGAAATCATAAGTAAGGATGTTCTTAGTACTTTTGATATATAATGAACAAGGAAAAAAAATTTAAAAATAAAATTAAAAAAAAAAAGAAGGAAAACAGTTTACAGCATACCATCAAGAAAGTTTAGACCAAAGAAAAGGAGAGAGTAAAAGTACCAGGAACTGTAAATACAGAAAAAAAAAGGTCCACAATTAAAGAACAAAGTCCCTCTCATCTGGGAGCAAATTCATGTGTAGGTTGAGAGCAAGGGTCACCCATGATGAAAGCCAGCTCTCTGAAGCTTGCCAGGTGCCCCAGGAAGCTGTGATCTTCCCCCTTTATTCATCTCTTCAGCACCTTCTAGGCACAAGGAACCCCCAGTGAATCAGACAGACAAAGCTGCATCCCTGTCCCACAGAGCTTGCATTCCAGAGGGCATTAGGGGCAGATGGGATACCTGAAAAAGCATGTTGAGATGGCTGTGCATTGCTGAGAGCAGAAGCAGTGAGGGAGAATCCAAGAGGCAGCAGCACTCACTTATCTGCTATAAGCATGGGCACCCCAAGAGCAAGACCTGCACTGCACGTGCACATATTCTTCTGCAGAGCACAGGGTCAGGCCTGAACAAAGTGTGGTAGAGGACATTTGGATGGATGGGGAATGACTGGGTAAATCAGGAAACATATTCCCCCAGACCAAAAAATAGAACTGCCAAATGAAGCTGTCAGCAGGTTACATGCCAGCTTGAACCAGCATCTTCAAGCCTTCATCAATAGTATTTAGTTTCATCAATATGCAGGATGTTTTCCAAGAAAACACTCAGCTTTAATTGTATAATAGAAATCATCAACAAATTAGGATTTACATTATTGTATACAAATGAAAAATACACATATACTTATTTTCTAGACACATTGCTAAAATAATCATTCCCTAAAATTAAAAAAACGCCAATAAATAAATCATATTGACTGAATAATAGTTATATATGTAAGTAGCAATTTATTATCTGTTTACAGAACTTTAACAGGCAACCAAAACAACTTTTCAGCTCATTGAAAGAAAATACTCAAGTAAAAAGCTACTGCTTAATTCTGTATTCTAGTAAAAAGAGACCCTACTGACACATTGAAGGATTTAATGATCAGCTCATCTAAACAGAAATTATTTAAAAATATATATATATTTTAGGCTTTGCAAGCACCATAAAAAGCACCATATCTTTATTCCATTCCTTGCTCTTGGCAGGTTTATTTTGTGTGGGTTTTTGTTTATTTGTTTACAATGCTAGAAAAAATGTAAAATCCATTCTTAGCCCCTAAGCCAGACAAACAGGCCTCTGCAGCTTATGTACTCCTGCTTTCCAGCACAACAGAGATACAGAGTCCCAAGTTCCTAACAATTAAACCCTAGGGGGAATGCCCATGTATTTCTGTATTACCTCTTTCAATCTCTCCAGTTCATTCTGGAGGGCCTGTTTGGATATTTCCACTTCAATCATCTGCTGTCGGAGAGTTTCATTTTCATCTTCAGCTTTCGCACGCTTTTCCTCTACAGTCTCAAGTTCATGATGCAATCTGACAGATACATCTTTGGCTACCTGCATCAACCACACAGAGATCATCATCACAATGTGAAGCTTTTTATGTGCTAAGGGTATACTCAAACAACTTCAGAGGCAGAATCATTAAGTCCAGAGGTATTATACCAAATAGCAAAGGCCTTGGCAATATTTAACAGACCTCCAAGTTCAACCAAAGAAGGTATTACAGGTTGAACATCTCTGATCCAAAATTCCAACATTTGAAATGCTCTAAAATCTGAACCACTTCTGGTCCAAGCACTTCACATAGGGATATTTAGTCTATAGTTTAAAACATGAAGTTAATATCAAGAAGAAGAATCAAAGACTTTTACGTGGATTGAAAGGCCACTTTGAATAGCACCATTTCCTCATAGAAAAGCACTAACAATGCTAATCCCACCCAGGTTCAATGCTTTAAGTGATAAATTAAAAATATTAATAAACAAATCAATACTTCTTTTCCCTAAAGTACTCCTAAGCCTGTTTGCTGAAAGAAACAAATCAAGTAATTCTGTTGCAGTAAATGTTCAATGTAGTGAAGTTTCAAATTTTCTACTATGGCTCTAGCTTGGCTGAAACATTGGAATGTTCAAAGCAATTAAACATTTTTATTTTCTAAAAGCAAATGAAGACAGAGATTTTGTAAAAGTAATATAAATCACCCTTTATCACATTGAATGACATTTTGTTAGTGGTTTATAACTTTGATGGAATTATAAAGATTCTTTTCCTGTTATAATAAAAGGCTAGATGAGATTTCACAAGTACTTCCATTAGGAGGAGGACGTTATGCATAATTCAATCTAGATAAATGCTTTGATAACCAGGTCATGGCAGAAGCTTTGCTGTCTGTAGGGTGAGCAAAGGGTACAAAGTCTGGGGTTTCTTCACCTCATTCCCATTCCTGTCACTGATTTTCACAGACACTTGAACAATTAGTTACTATCCTATTACTTCTTCAGTTAAATCACCACTGTAAAAGTCTCACTTTAATATGGCAATCTCAGGTTTTCTGAATCCCAGAAACCTAAATAACCATAAAAATAATTAAGGGAGATGGTCAGCTTTGAAGATGGCTCTTGACTGTCTTGATGATCAATAGATTTTTTTAAAAAAATATTTCTGATCTTTAGGAAATCTCTGTACAATTTATTTTCTTTCTTTTATTTATTTATTTATTTATCTATCTATCTATTTATTTATTTATTTATTGGTACGGGGGATTGAACTCAGGGGTACTTGACCACTGAGCCACATCCCCAGCCCTATTTAAAGACAGGGTCTCACTGAGTTGCTTAGCGCCTCGAAGTTGCTGAGGCTGATTCTCCTGTCTCAGCCTCCCAAACCACTAGGATTACAGGCATGTGCCAACCGTGCCCAGCTCTCTGTACAATTTCTATCCAATTATCAGACCAAATGGCTGGTATTAATTATTTTTCATTGTAGATTCATTATTATGATATCTTTTAAGGTTTAGTTCAGTCCCTTTTATGACAGATATAAATCTCGGTCCAAAGTCATACGACTACACATACCTTTTAAAGCATAAAGTAAACCAAGCACATTTATGCTGACATCTATTGAGAAAGATATAAGATATAAGCAGAAAAAGAACATCAGGAACATGTGTACTAGTTTGCTAGGGATAGGGTTGGGGGGGGTAACTCAGTGGTAGAGCCCTTGCATGAGAGGTCTTGGAGGTTACATTTTCAGAGGAATGACGTAGCACACAGCAGCCCCTTGGGAATGCCCACTCCATCAACCCCTCCTACTCACCTTCAAGTCCTGCTCCAGGCTTCGGATAAGCTCACCATCCACCTGCCCAGTCTCTGCCACTTTCAGGCTTTTCTGCTCTGCTTTCCTGAGACGGTACTGCAGGATTCGGCAGTTTTTGTTAGCACGGTCCAGTTCTCGCCGAAGTTCCTGCACCTGGTAAACATCTTCCTCTAAATAACTATCTCTCATCTCTTCCATCTCAGCACGGAGTTCATCCAACTCATCCTAAGAAACCAGACAGAGCACATTTATGAGTGAAGCCCATCCAGAAAGGATGGCACCTCTCTCCTTCATCCACCATCCTATCCCCACTCCTCAACACTAAATCATGAATACCTTCACCGTTCCCATCAGCTCAAGAAATGTCTGTGTGACATAATACTTCTCACATGAAATAATATTACCAAATGTCTGTTCAAATCTCATAGACAAAGAAACGAAAATCCAGCCTGTGTTATTCTTTGTAGCCTTTTGGAACCTATTCCATTCCCAGTTTGTTCTTAACACCATCAAAAATGAAATCAACTTTGCAGATAACTAAATCTTTAGAGTGAAACTCAACACTGACCTAAACCTGTATCTCTAAGGCACAAGTTAGATACTAAGATGACTCAGACAGACTCTACCTTCAAAGAACATAAACTTTAATGGGATAATAACTTAACTACCCTGGAAATATAGCATACTTGCAAATGTCTCTAAAACTCTGTTCCACAATACAAAACTCAGCTTTGATTACACGACTCTATTGAACAATGAAACATTTTCATTATTTCAAATACACATTGAGTTTATATTTTTCAAATATACATGGAGTTTATATTTTTCCCATTCTTCTCTCTTTTATTTCCCATATCTCTATTCTTTGTCACCAACACGAAAACAATCTGAATACCGGATGATGAAAAAAAAAATTATAAATGTTGTTTTGGACTAAGCTCCCACACTAGGCCCCAACAGACCAAGCTAAAAATTAAAATGATATCATTCATGTCACCAAATCAAAACTAAATTGTTCTGTGACCTTCTAAGCAATCAGGAGAGAGATAATAGCAGAATGTGCCCCCCCCCCCCAACAGGTCAGTTCCCTCTGCTTTAATCCTTAGGGGTGGGAAAGTAGCCTAAAGTAACCTGATGTTAACTAATCAGCTATTTATCTATGGTTCTGACTCCCTGTCCCTGCCTTACAAGGAAAGTAACATAGAAACCACCATCTGCTCTTTGTTCTTTTGTTTCTGCTTTCTTCTGCCCTTCTCCCTCTATAAAACAAATCTCTGCGTAGCACATGGGAACACTCATTGGATTTTGTGGAACTAAGTGCTGCCTAATTCAAAAAGTGCAAATAAAGCCAATTAAAATCTTTATAAACTGTTGACAAGGAGAACCCCCCTAAAGCCCTCTGCCCTCTACAGCCACACCATCAGTGAGTGCTGTTTTCTTCCCAAAGGGCCTGCACTCTTCTCCCAGCTCAAACACCAAGGCCCCAGTTCAGGGACCCTGACCCAGGCTTCCAGCCCCTCAGGCATACAGACACACTGCAGCTCTAGCTTCCCCTCAGGCCCTCTAATCCTCCCAGCTCCATCCAGCAGTCATCCTTTAATATGTAAATCAGACCACCCCGCCCCCTGCCCAAACCGGCCAGGGCTTCTTTCTTTCAAGTCTACCCCCAACTCCCTCCCTAAGACACTGGGCCTCTCCAGTTGAAGACTGCCTGCAGAGGACACAAGGTCTCACCTGCTGTCCCCCTGGCAGGTCTTGGGGAGCTCATTCTGTCATATAATGTGGGAAGTCACGTAGTCCACACTTCCCCTGACCCCAGGCCTGGAACCCCACTGTCTTTAACCTCCTGCTTTAATCTGTTTTCTTCCCACTTATGATCATCGGCTAACATTATTTGTGCTTTTTTTCCTATTTACTGTTTTGTTATCTACACTAAAAGCTTCAAAGGATCAAAACCTTGCCTCTAGGATCTTCTTTGCACCCAGAGCAACATAAGGGACACATCTGCCTCTCAAAAAGTATTTGTGAAATGAATACACACCTACAGTCAACACACAGACCACATCAACAAAATGACTAAATTGGACTTCCCCTTTGCTTTATTTTGGTCTTGCAGCCTAATTGTGAAAACTTCCCCAACCCATAAATAAAGCAGCAGTATACAGGATATATATTCTACTGAAGTAACCTTTTATGTTTTAATGAGGGGCAATTTGGAAGAGATGAAGAAAAGCATTTTAGGGCTGGGGCTGTAGCTCAGTGGTACAGTGCTTGCCTTGCATGTGTGAGGCACTGGGTTCTATCCTCAGCACCACATAAAAATAAATACATAAAGATATTGTGTCCATCTACAACTAAAAAAATACTTTTTTAAAACAAAAAGAAAAGCATTTTAGAAATTTTCTTAATTTGTTCAGTGATTAATTATTTGAATGCCTCCAGAATAAGATGCTTTCAGTTTCTATTTATTTATTTAATTAATATCAAGGCTCCAGAAAAAAACTCTCTCAGACACCCCAAATTGTCAGCTCTTGCCCTACTATTCACCCCTGATTCTTACTATTCTTGCTAGTCCTACATTTGTTCTAAACCTAGAAATTTACGTAAAGAACACAAGTTCTTTCCCAACATCAAAGCCTCAGGTAGACAAGATACTGAACAGAAAGAAATCTCTCTTTTTTTTTTTTGTACTGGGGATTGAACTCAGGGGTACTCAACCACTGAGCCACATCCCCAGCCCTGTTTTGTATTTTATTTAGAGACAGAGCCTCACTGAGTTGCTTAGAGGCTCTTGCCATTGCTGAGGCTGGCTTTGAATCCTCCTGTCTCAGCCTCCCCAGCTTCTGGGATTACAGTTGTGTGCCACCATGCCTGGCAAAAGAAATCTCTTAAAGATGAGTTTATCCTGGATAATATTAAGTTAAGGAAACACAACAAATAAACTTGGAATCCTATGGGAAAATATGGGTTGGAACAAAATGGGGGGAAGATGATTCTTCAGTCATCCTCAAAACGGCACAAATATGGCAGCTCATTCCCCTGACCCCAGCTTGAAGCTTCTCTCCACTCTGGTCACACTTCCTGAATAAGAGAATGTCCTACACAACTGACCATGACTCAAAATGAAAGCTGTTTCAGTGGACTATCAAGGAGAACCCAAGTTAAAGAAGATTGCTTTGTCAACTCCCCAGTGGTCAAATGGCCAGGCTCCTTAGGAAAGCGCTCTTTCAGGAAAGTGCTTGCCATGCCTCACCAAGAGAAGGCTGTCACAGATGCCTGATTCCTACACTGAGGCTGTGATAATGGAAACTGTATCCCCAGCCTACTCCATGCTAGAGGAGGCTAACCACAGACCAAAGGCTTTAAAATGGGTTTATGGTTGTTATTCTTTCATAAAGAGAGAGTTATTCCTGAATCTTCAAAAATCAAGGTCAAGTTTCATTGCTGCCCTATCAATCGGACAGATTAGATTTTGAGAAAGAGCTTAACTGCAATGCTTGTTTCTGAATATGTTAGAAGGCAATTATTTCACAGAGTAACTAATAGAAAATAGTTCAATACAAGCAATAATACCTGAACGTATACCAATAAATCAACATGTATATAGACATATAAATACATAGTGATTCAGCTCCTCTGTTAATGGAAGGAATTGTTTGTGATTGTTATTCCTTCTAAAAAAAAAAAAAAAAGTGTTTTTAAAAATCAAAATCATTAAAACCTGAAATTACCTGTTCCTCAAACAAAAGTTTTTAAAATTTGAAATAACCAAAAGAAGATGCAAAATATAGCTTCCAGATATAAAAATGTTCTGCAGCCTTCAGACTTTGCAATTAGGGTGGACCCTCATCCACCCTAATGTTAAATGCTAGACTGGTCTATAGATGTATAAACAACCATCACAGGCTTTTAAAAAAAAAAAAAAAAAAAAGTTTAAGGGCTAGACACACCCATGCCTTCAAATCATTGAGCAGGCTATGCTCAACGTAAACAGCTAATATTTTTTTAGCATAAATAATCACCAACATTAGTTGCCCAGAAAAGAAAATTAGGGAAGGACCATAATTGCACATATTTGAACCACTGCTTTTATAACTTACATTTTATCTAAATTTCTAAAACAGAAAACATCCTTTATTAAGCACTTTACCTTCATTATCAACCCTACCACAATCCTGCCAGGAACACACTACCCCCATTTTAGAGATAAGGAAACCAAGCTGAGGTTGGTTAATGTGTATGGAAGCCAGACTGCATCCATGGCTATCTGCTTCCAAACATGAGCACGCACTTTCCACTAAATACTACAAATTATTTGCTACAACTGGGACAGATGAAACAATAAGACTTTCGACTGTACTTTTAAAACCCCACCATCAGTGTAAACTACTAAAAGCAGCCTAGCACTTAGAGCTTGAAAATGATCGATGTACAAGTACATCCATTAGAGCAATTGGTCTTCAGGAAATCATTGCAATGTGCAGCAAAAATACTAATACACTCATTTCAAACATGAGGAAATTGAGAATCAAAAAGTTTAAATGCTTCCCCAACACATGTCCATTGCAGAGACAGAACTGAAGCCACTATTTCAACTCTTTCTGTGGCATCTGGAAAAAAGCAATTTTCAGGTTCGGTGAAAGGAAGTTATGAGAGATGAAAATTATAAACCATGTAAGCTGGCAGCAGTCACTTGAAAAGCAAAAACTGTGATTATTTGGATTAGGGTCATGATGGATAGTGATTTTCAAACTAACATTACATTAATTTTCTGAGGGCATGTTCTAATTTAGAAAATGTTGTACCCCAGAACCTTGATGAGGCCTGCCACTTACATATTCAAGAAAATCAAATCAAGCAGAACATATAGTCATATAGTGTTTGGCAGATAATAATTTAGAGACAGTAAATAAAAGTGGGAAATTGCTGTTGTCTTTTTATATGTAGAAATTAATAAGGATAAAACTGTTCTTAAAACAATAGTTTTATGCTGAATCAACAACAGATCTATTGGATATTTATATGTTATATTATTATCCTACTGAAAAAGCTAATCTAATCTAATTGTATTTTTCAAATATTTTATATATAATGGATTCTTGAAGAAGCATAAAGCTGTCCAACTATTCCCTTTTACATACAGAGAACAAGTCAAGCTTTATTATACACACATGTATATATACACATCTGTCATAGTAGAGAACTAATGAGGTACCGTGTTTGCAAATGAATAAACCAAGATTAAAAATAACTATTTTAATGAAAACCTCTAGGCTAGTTTTATCCACAAATATAAAGACTAAATTCATGATTTCTTAGTATAAGTGATAAGAAAACCTTTTGATCATACTGATTATATTCGCATCTCAATGTCTTTTAAACAACCCCAAATCTATAACTATTTCTATTTTAATAACTCCTCTTTAAATAGACCTAATTTAGACAGTAGCAGAAGCCCTGTGTATACTGTTGCAATAACTCCCATCTTCTGGGAGTTGCAGACAGAAAATCTTGTCTATTGTAATATGCAAACAATCCACCTCATTTCCCCCTGGACAATGGAAATGTTCTCTGCAGAGTCGCAGCAACAGCTAAAGAGGCACAGGACCCACTGCCATTGTTTACCAAGTGACAGTCTGGCCAGAAGCTGATGGGCTAGTTGCCCTAAGTCAACATTATCTTGCCACCTAAGATTATTATAGCCATGCTTCCATAGGCTGAATAAGAAAGGGGTGTAGAAAGTGGAATA